GTGCTAAACAGTAGCCTGTTTGAGCCGCACGGTTTGCACATTCAAACTAATTCTGACTGCATGTATAGCTTCAGTCAGCGTGTTATTGAATTGTACGAGATAGCGCTTTGTTATTTGGCCTCTAAATATCTGCACGAAGACCGTTTGGTTTGAGTGGTCCAAACATTTTGGGTGTTGCAACTTTAGCCGAGTGTGTTAGTGAAGCAGCAGCAGCTTGTGTGGGTGAGGTTTCCTTCAAAGTGGTGCTTGAACTTTGTAGTGCATTGTAACGATACAACTGCTATGACGAAAACAGTACGAATTTACGTTTTCATTATTTAAGGGTGTGCAAAAAACTGATTAATTTAATCTTTTCAGGAGTAGCAGCCGACCGGTGGACACCACGACGCCAAGAAGTCCGAAGCATCTGGTTTCTGTTACGTAGACGACATCGTCCTGGCCATGCTGCTAAATAAGTAAAGATCACCTTTGCCATCGTTTTTGCTCCTTTTTTCTTTCTCCAATATATTTTTGACCGTTTATTTGGCAAAACTCAATTTACTTTTTATAGGCTTGCCTTAATTTGTTTTGTAGCTAATTAAAAATATTAACTTATTTTAGGCTGAATTAGTAAATAAATTAGTCTTGCTTGTTTTTGGTCATATTTTGACATGTTTTCTGTGTTTTTAGCACAAATTATTCACTTGGCAGTATATTTTGGGGAATAAACTTGCATTTTGAGGCATTTGTAGTCCTTAGGCTTGCCTTAATTTGTTTTGTAGCTAATTAAAAATATTAACTTATTTTAGGCTGAATTAGTAAATAAATCCGATTTTATTGATCTCGCGCTGAGGAAATTCATCTCAGTAATCTGCCAGAACAGGGACTTGAACCCTGGACCCTCAGATTAAAATACTGACCGTTTACCAACTGAACTATTCAGGCTCAATACTGGCTTATGGTCTTGTTTGTTTTTGCTTATTTTACATATTCAGATATGTTTTTGTGCAAATTATTCACTTGGCAGCATATTTTGGGGCATAAACCTGCATTTTAAGATATTTCTGGGACTTTTTGTGAATTTTTTCATGATAGTAAGACTATAGTCTTTGTTTTTGAGCAGTGGCAGATTGGTAGTTAAGGAAATGAGCTTGGATCAGAAGATTTCAGGTTCAAGGCCAACAGCTGCCCAGTTCTCAGCATGTTTTGTATTTCTGGGCCTTTTTAAAGTGTGCGTGTATGTATGTGTGTATGTATATGTGTATATATATATATATATATATACACACACATATATATATATATATATATATACACACACATATATATATATATATATATATACACACATATATATATATATATATATATATACACACACATATATATATATATATATATATACACACACATATACATACATATATACATGCATATATATACACACATATATATATATATATATATATATGTGTGTATATATATATATATATATACATTTGTTTTTTCATAATTCTTGACAGTAAAAGCAACAAAGCTGCAGACAAAAGATGTCAGTTCCCAAAACTAAAATGCATCCTTCGTATTGTGACAGACACAAACGTTGTGTTAATGCTTTGTTTCTGGGCCATTTTTTGTAACATTTGCACACATTTGATGTGATCAGTATTTGCAGCATAATTCAGTATAAGAGTTGCTAGAATTTTCCTTTAGCTGCACTGACAATATCGTGCAGGTGTGTACCTTACTCAAAGACAAACTAATGAGGCTGCACTGTTACCTGGTGTCGTGCAGGACGCTTGGGATTGGATAACGAGGCGCAGCCGTGCAGAAAGGACGCAGTAACACTTTCCGGTGCGGTGATGGTTGCAAGATGGAGCTGTGTGAAGACAGAGAAAAAGGTTTGCTATTAGTACAAGGGTACGTGTTTCCATTTCTGGTTCTCTTCAGTTTGGCGGTTAACGTGTAATGTGAAGGACCAGTATTCCGCAGAGTGTGCGGACGGTTTGTTTTAAACCGTCTGCACGCTCCTGAACCGCCGAGTGAGGCAGCCGGTTAGCGTGCTAAACAGTAGCCTGTTTGAGCTGCACGGTTTGCACATTCAAACTAATTCTGGTTTTCTGCAATTTGACGACAAACCACAAAATTATAGGGTGTGGGAAGCCTCATTTCTAAATTCTACAAAGGACTTGAGTCTGTCAGCCAGGGAAGAACCAGAGCTGTTAATCAAATGGCTGGGAACTGAATTGTCGGAACAGTACAACCTACAAGAGAGATGGATCAGTTTTGGAAGCACAAGGAGGATTGCAGAGTGGCCTTTCCTCTCTTCTCTATCTTCTCAAGGTTTGTTGAACAACAGGCAAAGATAAAAAATGATCCAAGCTTCACTATAACCCCCAACAGCAGTCACGTCTCTTCCAGGACCGAAAAGCCTACAAAGTACAGTGGTAAAGGGTCTGGTTGTAAATAAAACTGACATACCAATAAATTCATCAGGCATTCAAGCCAACACTGCTCTGAAGAAGATGGAAGAACCTGATCGTCAGTGTCCGATACATAAAAAGCCCCACCCACTGAAAAAATGTAAGCTCTTTAGAAACAAAACTCTAGAGGAGTGCAAATCATACCTCAGAGAGAATTATATCTGCTACAGATGTTGTGGGTCTACTCAACACATGGCAAGAGATTGTAAAATGACTGTTAAGTGTCTTGAGTGTAACAGTGACAAACACATTGCAGCTCTGCACCCAGGTCCTTCTCTTGCGACTACACAAAGTACGGTGGACGACAGAGGTGAAAGCCCACCTTCTTCAGTCACTTCCAAATGTACAGAGATTTGTGGAAATGCAGACAGTGCACGGTCTTGTTCCAAGATCTGCTTGGTGAAAGCTTACCCTGAAGGGAGAAAGGAAAAAACAAAATGTATGCGGTGCTAGACGAACAAAGTAATAAGTCTCTCGCCAAGACAGAGTTTTTCAGTCTTTTTAATGTAGAAACTAGCTACGCCCCGTACACCCTGAAAACCTGTGCTGGAAAATTGGAGACTTCAGGTCGGAGAGCTGTTAATTTCATCATTGAATCTATGGATGGAAAAGTAAAGCTTGCCTTGCCCTCTTTAATAGAGTGTGACATGGTGCCAGACAATAGGACGGAAATCCCCTCCCCAGAGGTCGCACGCTATCACCCCCACCTACGGTCAGTTACTAGTAAAATCCTACCTGCAGATCAAGATGCACCAATCCTCCTGCTGTTAGGGAGGGACATCCTAAGGGTACACAAGGCACGTGAGCAAATAAACGGGCCCCACAACGCACCTTATGCACAGTGGTTAGACCTAGGCAGGGTCAGTGTGGGAGATGTGTGCTTGGGCGCTGTTCAAAAACCAGGCGAACGTTTACAGGGCAAACATACTGAACAATGACCACACATCCTTCCTTAGACCGTGTCCAAATAGTATCCACGTGAAGGAAGGCTATGGTGGTATGATGCAGCGTCACAGTGCAGCCTTCCCTGCATGTGCGGCGAACACAATTCTCCATGTGAGTACGGACAACCTAGGGTGGACGATAAAGCCTTCCTCGCTATTATGGATGCAGAAGTCTACCAAAATGAAGAAAATAGCTGGGTGGCTCCTTTACCATTCCGGACTCCTAGACGACGCCTTCCAAGCAACAGGGAGCCAGCTTTAAAGCGTCTCTGTTTACTTCGGAGAACCCTGGAGAAAAAGCCAGAAATGAGAGAACATTATATCAAGTTCATGCAGAAGATGTTGGACAATGATCAAGCTGAGCTTGCTCCACCTTTGGATATAGG